CTGTAATAAAAATTCTGTGATTGTGGTTTTGAAATACCGTAGTTACCCTCGTGATAGGACATGACACAACACCTATGTGCAGAGATGGTGTAGGCAACGTGACAGAATTAGGCTGCTGACCTGACAATAACTCAGGAGGATCGTCTGACCTGAGGGAGCCTGGATCACTGAGCCCTGACAATGTTAATGGTTGGTGAGCCTCTTCAATTCAAGGTTTTTTGTTGTTTGTTGTTGTTGTTGTTGTTGTTGTTACTGACCGTATGGTGAGCATATGTTGCCTGGAAGTTCACATCCCAAGTGAGACGGAGAGGGAATGCCAGAGATTTTATCCCTTGATTCAAGATGGCGCACAATTTTAAACAGGAATGGTTTATTCCTCTGCGATTTTCCATACAATGTATTAGGTACTGGTGACTGGGTAACTGAAACCATGGAGGCCAGAACTGTGGATGAAGACTGTCGCATGGCTACCGCTGGATGTTTGGGCTTCCATCATTTGCAGTTATATACGGCGCTGTAGTGAACAGTATTAAGTATGCATACAGAGAGCCCAGGAGCAAGAATGATATTTGATGAATTAAAAGATTTATGCCTTTGAATTTTTGTCCCAATGCCAAACTGCTCTACAGAGGTTGCACCAGTTTGTACTCATGTGCAAGAGCCTGTTTCTCCACAGGTTTCCTCAACTGTGGGGTTTTTGCTAGTAGAGGTGAAAAATGGCTGTGGGTTTTTGTTTGTTAAAGTTGATTTTAAAGTCAGCTCCCACTCCAGGCTACCACTGATAAAATTTCTGTTCCTAAAGTTTTACCTTTTCCAGAGCATAATGCAACAAGCTAAGTCTTATAACATCTCTGAGATTCACATTCATGGTTCAATAGGTCTTTGTATTATCAGTCAGTATTCCATTGTATCAAATGTACCACTACTCTAAAATTCAGCCATTGAAAGACATTTGGGTTTTCTGCAGTTACTGGAGAGAGTTAATAAAGCCACTAAATTGCATACAAGTTCTTGTGTGAACATATGTTTTCATTCCTCTTGGGTGAAAATAAACTACAGTCACCATTCTGTACATTAAAAAAAGTAATATAAAAATGTTTTTTGAATGTCATATACCACACTCTGTAACCAGAGAGAGGCAGCTTTGAAGAAATAACCTGCTACGTTGTGGACAGCCTATGGGAGTGCACAGCCTCTAGGACCTAAGGGTGGCCCCCCGCTGACAGCCACCAAAGCTCAGGGCCCGCAGTGAATCCTGCCAACATCCCGAACGGGCCTGGACACAGATCCCTCCCCATCCGAGCATCCAGATGACAACGCAGCCCCACCGGCATCTCCACTGCAGCCTGGTACCACCCTGGGCAGGGGTCCCCGGTCCCCACGTACACACGAGACAGGCCCTCACTCCCAGGAACTGGGAGAGGATGTGTGTGTTTTTTTAAATGTAACACACCAACCGTAGAGAATATTTTATAAATAAAGAAGGGGGGAAAAAATCAACCAGTCATCCTTCCATGCTGATTTGATTGTTTTTCTGGCCATTCCTTCCTAGTCTTTCTTCCTAAATATGATTTACCATATAGTAAATCCCAGTATTTGTACAATTTTAACCTGAATTTTTCACTTACATTATACACATTCTATGTCACAATATACACATGTATTCTTCACATTTATAATTTCTAATGGATGTAAAATTTTCTGTCAAGAGATGGAGCAAAATTATCTCATCAGTTTACTATTATTGGACATTCCTGTGGCTTCTAAATCCTACTATTATAAACAAAACACTACTATCAAAATAGGCATGTTATGTCTTTCTTTTTTAAAACCGTGTTTTGGATTAGTCCCTCAGGGATGATAATCCGGTAAAAATATACTATGTCTCTCTAAACAAAATATGTTTCTTTAAGCCAATTTAATGACATCAGATGTGTTTGAAGTACCAGTTTTATCACATTCTTTTCAGTATTAGATATTATACTTTTTAAAAACTCAGTGAAAAATGGTAACTTGAAGTTTTAATTTCCAGTTTTTAAATTACCAGAGCAAATTTAAATGTTTTTCTATGTTTATTTGTTTCAACTTACCGCTGCCTCTATTAAAAATTATCTTAAACTGAATTGTGTAACTTCACTGAGACTCAAGTTTCTTCTCGTATAAAGTGCAGACAATGCCACGTACTGTACACCATGGCTGAGAAAATCAAACACAATTATTTCAGTAACAGCACTGAGGAAGACTGGCACGTACCAGCTGCTCGCTTTTCGCTAAGTGAGTAGGTCAAGGAATAATTGGTCAGTCACACAGAGCGACACAATGGCCAACAATATGAATCTAAGGTTCATGTGGAATGCAGGCAAGAAACTTGGGGCGGGGTGAAGTGCCGTTTTCTGGGCAACACCCCAAAGATGGAGCATGCCGATTGAAAAAGGAGCATAATGATGTCATAGTCATTACATTTGTCCTGTAAAAACCTGCTTACCTTGAAAACAAAGATTTACAAAGAGGCGTTAAGTGTAGCTCAACGTCCACGCGGCTAGATGTTAAAGTAATTCTGTGTACAACTCTCCCTTCCTCTCAGTGATTTCCTCCCCACACCAAGGTTGCGGGGGGGGGGTGTGGGGAGCGGTGGGGAATATATGTATGACATCCTTTTTTTATTTTAAGGGAAAAACCATGTACATGATCAAAAGGGAGGCTACTGCAGAAAGTACTTAATAAATTACAAACTTTCTGCATAACTAGAAGGCATCATTATTATTTCATTGAGAGGTATCAATGCCACAAAATAGTTTGGTTTAGAACTTATAAGTCAAACTTCAAATTAAATCAGCTCTAGAAAGGACTTACACAGGACACAAACTTGGTCCTAGATTTCAGTGTCTAATGAAATATCCTGCAGCCCTTGCTCACAGAGCTATTTGCAGCCAGAATTATTCTCCGTTATTCAGAATCTATTCTGATAATATCAGTAACAGCGGTGGAAGAAAGTTGAAGAAAAGAATCATGAATGAAATGCATCATTGCTCTTCCTATCGAGGGACGAGCAGCAAAAGCTCTGTGTGCGAAGGACAGTCATTCGAGGAGGAGAGGCCTCAGAAGCCAGGTCTGATTGCATCACCTCATCAGCAGAGGCTATGTGGTGGTTTATAATTTACTTGGTAAAAACAGATAGACAAACATTCGTCAAGTGCCCTGAAAGGCATCCAGAGAGATGTCCTTGCTCACTGCAGTGACACAGAGCTGGAAAAGCAATGCAGTACTGCAGTCCCTTAGGAAACAGAGAAGAGACTGGCGTCCAGGACTCGGTCAGCATGCACATCCCGTAGAAGCAGAGTCAGACCCTATGTATAGGGGCAGGAGAAACGGTCCTCAATAAGAAATTAAATAAACGCTAATTTAAAATGAAAGCCAAAATGATATGGTAGAAGCACTCTTAGCAGCTACTTTCTGCAGAGAAGAAAATGTGAGTTCTCCGAAGTTGGCTTATGAAATTACTAAATGAAAAATATAAAGAATTGCAACCCCAGCGATTCTGATGATGGTGAGCACTCTTCACACTAAAGTTAGACTACCCTTTCAGTGCCAGGACCGAGCGAGGTCAAGTTTTTCACACCTTAAAGCAGAGGGATAGCCAAACTGCCTATGACAACCTCCAGAGATTTGACACGTTCCGGCGTTGTCACCATGATCTGACAGGTGGCAATTCCCTGTGGGCATCCAATGCAGGTGGCTCTGGAGCTGTGATGTTTTCAGACGCGGGAAGAGATTTCTGGGAGCTGTTCAAATGCTCGACGTTCAAGTGTTGTCAACCAGGGGCATCACATTGTAGACTCACTGCTGTTGCGGAGGGAAGGGCCATGGAAGTTGCAAGCTCAGCCCTCTCACGTTACAGCAGGTAACAGAGCCCGAGGAAAGCGACCTGAAGGTTCGAAGGTTCCCGGTGCTGAGATGGCGCGAGGAGTCCAGGAGATAGGACGGCACTTGGGCCTGTCAGCGCCACCCAAGTCCCTCCAGCCCCATCACTGGGCTCTCACTGCACCCTGTCGTTCTGATGAAGTGGAGAGTCACCTCAGTCACTGGGAGCAAACGTGTATCTTGGAGAAAACTCATTCAGAGCTTTCCTTGTCCCCCTTCATTCCAGACCGACCCCACGGTCCTGTCCAGACAGCCGCTGCCCTAGCACTCAGCGCCACCTCTCCCCAAGTGCCAGTGCAGCCTTTACAGGCCCCCCGGGTCCCCAAGACACAAATCCTCCTCTTTCATGTCAGTTCTGGTTCCCACAAGCACTAGGAGCGGGGGACTATGGCAACAGATTCCTTCTTGGGCCTTAAAATCCCAAGCAGCACATGCAATAAATGAAGCTGGTTTTGTGTGAAATGCAAATTTTCTGCTAATCAGCTTATGGCTTGTCTGGCCACATGAATGATTCTTCTATGTTCCATAATCCATCATCGTCGTTTCCTTTATTGGATGTCGGTCTGGGTGTGTCTCGGGTACACACGGCTGTGGGGTGAGTGGGGGCGTGGTTCAGCTGTGGGTGCACGGCCAGGGGTGTTGCTGGTTAGAGGGAGGATCGGGACCTCCAGCACCCTCCCTTCTAGCAGCCGTTCAGCCACTCGGATTCGGTTTATGAACCTCATCTCCATACAAGAGAGTGGGTCGCTGCTTTAACTGTAGGATTGCTTTATGTGAATCAAGCTAATATTAGGAAGGAGAAAAAAAGTATCCCTATGCACTTTTGTCTTAAGATATGAAGTACCCCTGGAAAATGCCTTACTGTTAACCAAGTCACAGTGACACAAAAAAATCAGAAAAAGGCTGTTATATGTTTAAAGAGTCAGCACAAGATAATATTCTTCCCAACTTATCCCAGCGATATAAATAGCATCATTGTAAAAACACAATTTTAGCATCAAAACATTCTCTTATTCCACTTTGGCATTAAAACATTTCGCTGCATTTTATTTTAATGCTGTGCACAGGAAATGGGTTACCTTCCAGCATTTTCTGCAGACTGTTCCTCATGACATGGATGTTTTCTATCCCGATAAACTGGAACTTGATGTTGGAGTAATTGTCTTCATTCTCGTAGCCTTTCCCGGCAGCACGGTTGGCCATGGCGTTAAGCTGCAGTGGTTGGCAAAACAAGACAGTCACCGATTATAGGCAGGACCAAAACATTTCATGGTTATCCTTAAGAACACTCAAGATCAGGAGCAGAAACAAAACGTTCTACATCAGGGGAACACTGTCCTGAGCTACGTAGTTTCAGGCACGCATGCTGAGCTTGTATTCGGCAACAGAAATTTGTTGATATTTGTTTTCTGAGCTGGGAAGAAGCATTCTATTGATAAACCCTTCGGAGATGCCGCTCACCGTTCCCTGTCACAGGTGACAAAATATGACAGAGCCAACATGCCCCAGTTCAACACCACTCATTGTAACTCGCAGGTTGGCTGAAGAGCCTCAGCCAGCACAACTGTAGATATGAAGCTCCGTAGGTTAAATTTCTACATCTTCTGGGTTCATACTGCCATTGAGCGCATCATCAAACAGGCATAGTTGCATCCTTCTAATTAGCCTATAAGAATTCCCCAGACATGCAACTAAACCTTGAGCAGGAACCACTGAACACCATGAGGAGAGGCCGTGCGGACGCTGTCTCCAAAGGCATGTCCTACGGCCCCCTTAACTCAATCTGTAGACTTACTAAGAGAGCTGTGATCACTTTCATTACCATAATTTTGTATATGAGAAGTGGGGATGTCCTAGTGCAAACTGGGTTGAATGGTAACAGATTTTGAGGAAATTTATTAAATATAGACTTCTGCCCTAGTCTTCTGTAACTAAATTCAAGAAGGGGACAAGTCTTGCCTTAGCTCGGAAGTACATAGATTTCTAGAATTCTTGCTGTTTGGCTAAGTGGGTAACCCCATCCTAGAAAACGACATTCACTGGCTGTTCTCTTCCTCTGCCCACGAAGGCCAGGGGGCTGTCCTGGGCTCACAGCTGACACCGGGGCCTGGCCACCAGAAAAAAGACCAGCTTTTAGGACCCCAATGCAGTACTGAGAGCATATTGATAAATACTTTTCAAAATCTAACTTTAAAAAGCTAAGTTAAAAACATACATATTCTTTGACCCAGATCTACCTGTGAGAATTTGACACAATTAAAGTTACCAACATATAAAGATGGATGCCCAAGAATGTTTATTGCAACTTTTTTTTTGTAACAGGAAAAAGCCCAAAACCTATGAATATCTCAATAGGGCAATGACTGGATAAGTTATGGTAAATTCATGCCCTGACTACTAACAGGACCAAGAAAAACATAGATCATCTACCTACCATATTTTGCTGTGTATAATGGGTACTTTTTTGCCCAAAATTTTGAGGGAAAAATAAGGATGAGCATTATACATGGGTAGTACCTGAAATACCTTGTATCTGTTTTTGTGTTTTGCAATTATTTGTTACATAAAATTTCTTGTAACCATAATATGTTAAAAAATAAATGCTAGAATGCCTATATAACACAAAAAAACAAGCATCTAAATATAAATAAATAAAAACTTAAATTAAAATATTAAAATGAAAGATTTTTTTCCTGAAAGTTTGAGACTAAACGTGGGCGGGCATTATCTATGGGAGTGCATTGTACACAGCAAAATATGGTGCTCTGTCTATTGACACAGACAGACAGACAGACAGACAGACTTTGAATTGTCCCATGACATTAAGTGAAAATACAAAGCCACAAAATAATATTCCACAATTATCCCACTTTTTTGTGAAACAAACCAACCTTGAGATAAGTGTGTATGTTTAGGGATGTTTGATTACGCAGGATCAACACATGTGGAAGACGACACCAATTTACCAAAAGTTACAGCCGAAGAATAGAGAAGGCAAGTGACGGGGGACACTGTCAACACTGCGGGGGAGGCTCCCGTATTCCTCGTTCCAAGGAAGATACGTTAAGTTCGTAATATAAATAATAGAAGTGAAACATAAGCCAAGCAGCCATGCGGGGCCCTGCTCCACGATTTAGCTCATGTGACAGCAGCTGGGCCACATTAGCCCCTCAGGACCCCTTTTCCAGCTGATAAAAGACTGTCACCTTTCTCCAGGCACGCTATAAAAATGGAAGCTTTGGCCTTCATCAAGAAAAAAATATTAAAATAATGTTATTTTTAAGACAACTTACGTTCATGCTTTAAACTTTTTAAATATTTTAAGGAGAAAAACTTTCTACAATTATCTTTAGACATTATGGTTAAGAAACTTACTATTATAAAATATTACTGCTTCGTATAATTATTTCCTGAAACTTTTGGCTTATCTTTTACAATAAGCTCCATAAAATAGAATCATTACTGAGATCATTGTAAGCATTCTCCTGCTACATGAACCTTAGCTGTTTGCTCTATCTTGAATAATTCAAATTAAGCCTGCTCACCTCGTGCTGCAGAGATACACTTTTTAAGCATGGCAATGAATAAAACCAAAATATGATTATTATTATTATCTGTAATTAGGAATCTGCACATCTTTATATAGTCTATTACTTATAACCTGGGAGAATTTATTGGAAGTCTTCTTTAAAAGCAAAGAAGCAACACAAGATGGCCTCTTAAAAGTCAATGGTACTTCTCATAGGGACCAGAAGGGGACACTATTTACCTCCCATCCACAGTGTACTGTCTGAAGGTTTCCACACATTTCACTGCACCTAACAGGACAATGTAGCAAAAGCTGAACCCTCAAAGAAGGAAATACAGTTTTAAAGTTAATAAAAATTCAAGAAGCTATCCTGGACCTTAATATATATAATAAATTACATACTCATTATATATTATATAATTATGTATCATATATTCTATATTAATTATATAGTACATATTAATTATATGTTATGTAATTGTTCCGGCACAACTAATGCCCCTTATTTATTATTAAGTTTCTTATTACAAAATCATAAGCATGTAATTCTGTAACATAATAATATCGTACTCAAGCACACCATGTGACATTTTAGATGAAACATTCAAATTAAAAGTATAAATTAGTACACCCATATTATTACCCTACCAACCACACTCAAGCAGGCCTTCCTTCTGCTGGACCCTGCGTACAGTTAGGTAAAGCATCCCTTATATAACAAAACACTATTAGTCAATCTAATCTGGTCCCTGTCCCTTTGGCTGAGAACTTTGTTTTATAATCAAAGGAAAAGCTATTGATTTCAACTCCTAAAAATCCCCAAATGATAAAACAATGACTATAACTACGTACAGTTTCAATTTATGCTTAAGGAACACAGTAGGCAAATGAAAAGTGGAACGGGAAAAAAGTGCCTATTTCCAACCGAAGATCACTCTGCTGTTTGATAATCTCAGCACCTTTGGGTTCAGCAAAGCTCATAAATGAAACAAAAGGAACCTCCTCATTCCTCAACAAACACTTAATGAATACCTACTGTGTGCCAGGCCCTGAGCCAATAAAAAGATGAGTGAGAAGCTGTTCCTCCTGCCAAAAGCTTATCACTGAGTGTGGAAGGGAGCGCTCCCAGCACCCAGCAGCAGTGGACGATACGCACTGGACTGGGCAGGAACCGAGAGACCCCGGCAGGAGTTTGAACCGGCGGTCGGGGGGAGCCCCATCTGGCCTACGGGAGTGTAGGAATGTTTCATGGAAGAAGGAAGGCTTGAGATGCACTGTAATGACCTGGAAGGGTGGAGAAGAAAGGACGGGTGTTCTAGATCAAACAGTGAGGACAAGAGGAGGGGGGGGGTCAAGTCAAAGGAGCAGGTGGGTGGCGGTGAGCCAGCCAGTGGCAGTGGTGGGGGTACGTGTATGGCGGCAACAGCTGGAATTATGTAGACACCTCTGCAAACAGGCCCCCTCAAGACGTTTAGACTCCATCTGCTGCCCTGGAGAGCAATGGAAGGACTCTAAGGGAGCTTATGTCCGTGAGACCAAAGACCCGCTGGGATGGGGTCAAGGATGCAGCTCTGCCAGGAGCCTGTCAGCCTTGTGTGTGTCCTCGACCTGGCCCAGGACAGGTGCTCCGTGAAGATTTATTGACTGGCTAAGCCCCCAGTAAACAGCTAAATAATGGAATGACGTTGACAGATGAATAGTCTAAACATGTAAGAAGTAGGGTCAGATTCTTCCCCTAACTCTAAACCAATCAAACATATCGAAACCATAAAAGCTTAGTCAACAAACATCTTGGTATCAAGCTAAAGGTCAGCCTGGTCATGCCCTTTGCCTTGGAGTCTCAAATTTCAGCAGAGTACATTCTATACCTGAATAATAACAGGACCTGGTGTTATGTGGTTGGGAAATGAGACTGAAGTCGACCTTGGCAGGAGGAGGCTGGGCCACACCCTAGCACAGGGTGTCAGATGGCCGTCCTTTTCTCGCCCTCCCTCCATAACTGCTGAAATTTAAGGAGAGCCTTAAATTGTAATGGAAACATGAAAATAGAAGATGATTTTATTTCTTGCAACTAAGGTCCATAACCATGCTAGCTAAAATCCTCCTTTCTTGCCTCCCAAGGACACCTTAAGCAGAATGCATAGCTTTCAAATTTCACTCAGGTAGGAAATCACGATGCAGCTCAATTTAAAATTCCAGTCCCACGAATGATGCAAAATTATCTTTCCCTCATTACAGGCTATTTGGACAGTGAGGGGGTCCGCTCTGGGGTACCCTCCTGTGCTTCTTTCTCCTGGGCTCTGTGTCCTGGGAAAGGGGGCGTTGTAGAGCAGCGATGAGAGAAGAGGTAAATATATCTTCATAAAGCTGGACAGACTGCAATTCTTTCTCCATCGGTAGTGGCTGCTTTTCCAGTTAACACTCCCTGCCCTCCCTGGCTTTAGAGTCTAAACGCTAAACCTCCGAGGGCACGTGCGTGTACGAGGGCTCCGGCGGGGTAGGAGGTACACAGTTCACTGACACGGGAGATATACGCTGACTTGAACCTCTTCCAATCCCCTCAGCTTCCCTCCTCTGCAGTCACGTGCAACTGAGAGCCCCCACTGGGCAAGCCCTCTCTCGGGAGGGGCACCAGCAAATGGCCCATGCACAACTTCCTTCCTCAAGGTCCATCTGACCCCCAGTAAATTCCTCCATCTTGTCCTGCCAATGAAAAGGAGAGCAAACCGTTCCACCAACACCTCTCTCCAATTCCCTCTCTCCTGCTCACTGCCATGGTCGTCACCAGTATGTACGCTGCACCCCCCACTGGAATCCTAGCTTCTCCTCTTTGGGCGCCCCCAGGCTTTACAAGGGGTCCTGCTACGTGCCCCCTCACATGATCAGTGGATAGAAATGACCTCATTGCTGGTTCCAGAGAAACGAGAAAAACTTCCCATGCTACATCCTACTACACAACTGAAAAACGGCTTCTAAGATAGCGAAATGGGAAGCGATAACCACAGAGCTGTCTGTGAAGGAGCGAGGGCCAGAGGCTGAACGCTGGCTGAGGCAGGAGCCCCCTTACCTGACCCCTTCTCCGCACAGCCCCACACTTCCCGCAAGGCTCTGGCGTCAGAGCACAGCTCAGAGCCCTTGTTGTTCCTCTGGCCTTGGCTGGAGTCTGGATGAGCTTGTGGTTGGTTCTTTAGCTCAGAGTCTCCAGAGTCACTGGGGATGTGCTCAGAGCCTGACAGTGGACACACGGCTTCCCCGGAAAATTTTGACAACAGACAACACCAAGCTCAAACACAAGGGGCCCGGGCTTTGGCATCGGATAAGCCTGGATCTGAATCTGGCCTCTGCCTTGAATGGTGTGACCTTGGGTGAATTCTTGAGCCTTCCTAAATCTAACACCTTATTTATCCATATGAGCATCTCCTAATTTGCAAGATTATTGTAACAATTAAATGAGAATGCGCCTGGCATTTTTATAAACTCAGCACAGTCCCAGAACAAATGAATGATAAAGTCCTGATCAAAGTTGAGATAAAATGATTCTCTCTCATTCTACAATTCACAACTACGGCATCAACGCTGTTTCATAGCTTCCTAGTGCACCAAATCTTGATGTGGTATATGACCTCAAGGATTTAGTTTGGTTGAATGGATATTCAGTGCCGGCCGGGGACCTCGCTGCCTTTGCCTACCCTTCCCCCCAAGATTTTAAGGTCAATAATCCATTCAGAAGGCTTTCATCTGAACAAGGCAGTATCTGGGGTGAGCCTTGCTCAGAGGACAAGAATGGCCTTGCATTGTCTCCTAACCCTTTTTCCTTTTAATAAAAACTGTGAGCAAACCTGAGCAGTATCCCATTTGCCACTGCTCACCATCTGTAACAAACATGGACTTAGTCTCTGGGCTACCAAGGAGGCTGAACGCACTCCAGAACAAAGATCAACAGACAGGATCTTTCAAAGTGTGATAGTTCTCAGCACACGGTTTAAAACCCACGTGAACCATGCATGTGTCTGGGTAAACCATGAGGAGTGGGCAGACTTGTGTGTAACACCAATTATCTTTAATGGGTCAGCATGAAACTTCTTATCGCTGAGAGTAAACACACTTAGTGCTAAATATACCCTTCCCATCTTATCCTTTGGATTAATTTATTTTAAATCTGGCATATGCCAGGCTCAACAGCTGCCACATTTCTCAGAAGGTTTACATAACATAGTACACACTTGGCTCACCGGCCCTTAAATTAGTAGGCGAATCTTTTTGCCTTAATTTAAATCTGGGAAAACAGGATAGGAGAAGGGCATCCCAGCTCAGTGAAGCCCCCGTCTCTCCTTCCTTTTCTTTCCTTATCCTGTCTTCAGTATATGTGTCTAAGAAGCAGCATCCATACATCTATCAGAACAGCTGCCCTTGACTTTCACAAAAGGTACAATGAAGAGGAGGGAAAGCCGTGGAGATGAGAAGGAAGGGGTTAGAGTATACTGCGCCAGAAAGAAAAGCACAAATCAAAAGAGATCAGTAAAATTCAGAGAGTTTCTGGCCTCTTTGGGTGAAAATCTTCCAGCAGAGAACCTGTTTTGTTCTTGGTCTAAAGCTCATACCTGTAGGCTGTGCTTTGAGAATTTATCTGAAAAGGAGGGACCCTTTCCCTGTCACCTGTCAGAATGTGGTCTCGCTGCAACATCTGCTTCACCCCATCATCCTCATTGCTCCGCCCATGCCCATCCCACAGCCGCACTCCCGTCAGAAGCAGAGGGAGCCAGTCTGAGGCCAAGGGTGTGAGTGAGCACTGACGTACACCAGGAAAGCGTCAACTCGAGTGATCCAGACCATGAATCACAACGCTGGGTGACGTGAGACTCAAGGATGCCGTGAAAACTCCCAGGGTCAGGGTCTGAGTGTCTACACATGGGCAGCCTCCAGGTCTCGTAGTTCCTCACATTACCCATCAGTACGAACTATGTCCGTCATTTCCTCTTCTTAACAGCAGTATATACTTTTAAATGATGTGCTGTTGGTCATACTTCCTCTACCCTGGTCTAATATATCTTACACCCTTATGTTCTTTTAAAAAATAGCTTCATTGACATATAATTCACATCACATACGATGATTCTCTTAAGTGTACAATTCAACGATGTTTGATGTATTCACAGAGCTGCGTGACCATCACCACAATGTACTTTTAGAACATGTTAATCACACAAAAAGAAGCACTCCACCCATGAACTGGCACGCTCGACTTCATCCTGTGCTCCTAGGCCTGTGCAACCACCAGTCTGCCTTCTGTTGCTCTAGATTTGTCTGTTCTGAACATTTCATATAAATGAAATCATATAATATGTGTCCCCTTTGACTGACTTCTTTCATTTAGGATAACATTTTCAAGGTTCACCCATGTTGTAGCATGTTGCAGTACCTCTTCCTTTTTTATGGCCATATAACATTCCATTGAATGGATATATACCCCATTTTATGAATCCATTCTCAGTTGATAAACATTTGATTGTTTCTGCTTTGGGGCTATCATTAATAATGACTACATACTCACATGTTTTTGTGTGGACATATGTTTTCCTTTCTTCTGAGTTAGGAGTGGAATTGCTGAGTCATGGGTAACTTTGTTGAACATTTAAGGTTCTTATGCAATTTTAGTCTTTTTATGACAAAATTGTTTAAACTACAGTTCATGAAGTAAAGTTTTCTTAAAATCCTCTCCCCATCCCATGGGAAAAACCACAATTAATAATTTAGTATATATATTCTCCAATTTTTTTCAATGCATAGTTTTTATAATATAATTATCATTATGTAAATGGGATTGCATTACACATATTCTCCCATTTGTCACTCTTGTTGCTCAGCATATGCCTTGGACACCTTTCCATTCCCACCTAGAGACATACAGCTGCACATGTGTCTCTCTCTGTCGTTGGTCACAGGTCCAGGTATATTTTCATTGTTGGCAAGAAATTACAGTGCCAAGTATGTTGATTAAAGGCCATTTTGATCTGTATATTCATTCCATGCACTTGTATGTGATTTTTGTTTCCATATATTCATAGCACATCCCTCTGAGGACTCCCTTTGTGGATTGATTTGAAAAATATGGGTCTAAGGAATGAAATTGGAAATTATACTGGGCCTAATGCTAACTAGGGTTAGAACAGAAAGCTGTGAGAGGAAAGTGTGAGATGGATTTGGCCCACCCCTTGATGACTAGATCTGTTATTTCCTGTTAGTTGTTTTATTAAACGATAAAATTAATATACGAATACCTGCATAATTGTAAAATAATTATTTTCAAACAAGAGACAAATAGAAAGTTCTCAGCCTCCCCAAATCCTCCCTTCTCCATGAAGTTTCAATAGGTTGGTGTTTATCCTTCCGGGATCTTTTTTTTACTTCCATAGAAATATTTACGTATCTGTAGTTTTGTCTTCATTACCTTTTTACATAAACACAAGAATATACATATTATTTTGCGGCTTTTCCTAGCTTAGCATTATATTTTGTAAATCCTTCATAGATAACAAATCATTACAAGTTGAATTTGCAATCGTTTAGCTGAACACCTCACCAAAATCGAACTGCGAGAGCGCTGCAGTACACTTCCTGTTGTAGGAGAAAAGGTTATTGTAGGAACACAGCAGAAAGCAACTGGTATACTTAGGAGAGAGACCTGTAAAAACAAATACACATTTGAGGCGTGCACTGTGTCCCCAGCACAGCGCTAGGAGCCAGGGAAACATCAGAAGCACCCTGAGCGCGGGGCGCCCAGGCAGCAGCCCCGCAGAGAGCGGCCAGGTGCTGGCTGTGCAAAGCAAGAGCCAGAGCGCCCCCCCCCCGCCCCCTCCCCAGCAGACGAAGCGACCTGAGCGCGGAGGGCGGCCCAAGTCTCCTCGCCGCTGCGGTCCAGGCTCCTGACTCAGCGCTGCAAGGGCATGAGTCAGAATGGCGACACTTACTTTAGGCCGAGTATCAACGACGTAAATGAAGTCGCTTCCCGGATTGGCTTTCCTGATGGCCTGGAGCATCTGCTCGTCCTCCAGGCACCGGGCACTGAAGCCGGACAGGGGCTGGCTGCTGCGGCAGATGGAGGCCTGCGGGGAGAGGCCGGGGGTCAGACCACTGTGCGGCCGGCCCGCGGGGTCCGCCAGGCTGGCGCACCACAGGTGCGTGCGTGCCCTCTGCGTGGGCAGGTTTCTGTGTAAGAAACCGGAACGTTTGGATAGGACCCAAATTAGGATATTGAAAGCCATTTAAACAACCTACTTTCCTTTCCAGGGGTGTGGATTCATTTTCCTGCTGCAGGGAGAAATATAAAATAAATACCTCTGCTCCTAAAATGTATAGCCTACTACTATTGGCAAGACGAGTAAAAAATATTTTGCAATGCTTTCCATTGGTTTTAACTAGGCCATTTAGAAACATCACAAATACCCCAAACCAGCTCTAAATCCCAAATGAGGGACTTCTCGCTGCGCTGGAAGCCAGGGCTGCTGCGGCTTTGGCCCGAGTGTCGACAGGCACCGACCTAAGCTGGCCCGAGTGTGTGAGAAGCAGGGGGTTTCTCGGACTCAGCTTGCACTCTGTTCTCCAACTTCCCTATTCCGCAGTTCTAACATACGGTGGTGTTAGGCAATCTACAATAGCATAACGTTTGCCCTCGTTATCAATAGGCAAGTATAGATACAACTTCGCAGCAAAGAAACATAAATTATGGGGCAAAGTACCTTTTATGGATTTAGATTTTATTTTAATATTTAAGTTAAACTCAAACCACCAAGTTCAATCAATATAGGAAGGAGGTGAAAGGTGCATCCCCGTGTCCCCGTGCGTGAGGATACTTAGGAGAGAGACCTGTAAAAATAAATGACACACATTTGAGGCGTGCACTGTGTCCCCAGCACAGCGCTAAGAGGGAAGAGAGCCCTCTTATGTGGGGACGGTCAGCAGGGGGAAGAGAGCCCTCTCGCTCTGGGCAGGCTCAGCAGGGGAAACGCTCCCTGAAATCGGTCCTGGCAGAGCCTGGTCAGGGCGCCTGCACTGCCGGGCTCTCTCCAGGAAAAGACGTCCCAGCTCTGAGTCCAAGCACAGCTTAACTGTCCCTAAAGCTCAATCCAGGGCTAGATAGCTAGGGTTTCAGTTTCTCCATAAAAAGGTGAGCTTTGGCACTTCCTGTTGCAGAAGGCGGGGATGTTCCTCAGGAACTAGACCATCCTTCGGCTGAGGACCTTGGGGCAGAGCCAAGCAGCGCAGAACATCTTGATGTGTAGCTGGGCAGCCGTCTGCGGGTGCCAGTACCACTCTGTGGCGGAGAGGGGAGACGGCCCAAGCGGCTCCAGGAACTCCGGCCTGAGCCGGGCGGGATGCAGGAGGGCAGGGCGGGGGAGAGCGGGAAGGGAAGCGAAGTGCCCGCCAGCAGCCTTGCTCCAGGCTTGTTTAATTCTTGAGTCTCTGGCAGCAAAAGTCCAACTGCACATGTCAAGGAGAAAGACACCCGAGGGCCTGAGCCTGGATGAGAGGACAGCCAGCTTGAGGGAGGGCCAGGAGAAAGGTGACTTGAGGGGGTGGGGGCACAAGAAGCGAGCTACGTCCCATGGATGGAAAGCAAGTCCCCACGTATGGCTCTCACGGGGCTTCATCTGGGGGTCTGCTTCTTCTCATCTCTAGAGGGGTCACAATGGGGAGGGGGACACATGTACATGTAGAGTGTCTCCCTGGGTACCCAGGTCATTTAGCAATGCTTAGACACACATCCCTGCTTCATACCTTGTAAGAAGAGCTGAAACTTGAAGGACCACCTGCCTTAAATGTTTAGAAGGCCGAAATTCAATGATTTTAAATGAGAACTGATGGCTGTGTGAGTTCACTTTCAGGCCTGCACAGCGAATGGAGGCCAGCACACAAGGGCTCCAGTGAAACGATGTCCGTCCGAGGTGGGAGGCGAAGAAGCCAGCTCTGCGGTCTCACTGCTGAAAACGCCATCCTACTCTGAGACACAGTGCACTTGCTCTTTATAATGCTCACAGAGGAAAACAGAAAATCCTTTCTCAAGAATATCAAAATAGGAAGAAAAAAAGAAGAAGCAGGACAGTCACTATGCTCATTTTTAAAATACCCAAGTGTGTCCCCATCTCTTCCCAATGGAAGAACAAAAGGTCCCCCTCTCTTACTTCTTTATCAATGGATGCTACAAAAAAGGTAAATACTCCTGGCATCCTAATTTCAAGTATATCATCATGAAATGCCCTATTCATTCCATTGGATTTTTTTTTTTTAAAAAAGGAGATTTATATCTTCCTTTGCCTTTCACTACTGCTCCAGTTCTGGGTAAGTTGAAATATATTTGGAGTCAAATAATACAAACATTAATAAAATACTTGCCTTCTTTAGGCCCCATTTCAGAGCAGTCAGTGTAACTAAAAATAAGACAATTTATAGCCTTTCAAGTAAAAGCGCTCATGCAGTTAAATGAATATTTGGCTTTTAAGTTGGCAACATAGAAAGCTATTGCTCCCTCTAGCATAGCTTGAGGAAACTTGGGAAGCCTTCCTTTAGAATCTGACACAGACCCTACCCTACTCCTTGTCCACAGGTGCACACACGCCATACACACTCACAGACCTGCTGCGACTGTGTGAAGCCTCCCGTGGCTTTGAATCCAGGGCTCTATTTTCTGGCTGGAGAACCAAACCTTTGCACCTGGCTAAAGTCAGATAGCTTCTGAAGTGAATGGGAAAGACCATTCTTGTCTTCACAGATTTGTTTTCTTCTCCTCGATAAAAATGGAACCACGGTTGTTAGTTGTTCACATGGTTACCCATAAAACTGTTGTTTCTCACCAGTCCTGTGCAGTTCTGATGAATAGATGTGAGCAGAAGTGTCATGTGACAGTTTCAGAAAATGTCCCCAAGAAGCTGTGAGTGCACCATGTACAGGTGATAGCTGCGACTAAACTCATCTCTTACACCACACGACGAGGGCCACACTATAGGATGGCAGACGAGACAGGAGCCAGGGGCTTGGGCCCGTGACAGGTGAGTGACGGAGAGCCAGGGCGCCAGGTCCAGACTGGCTACCTTTGGAGTTTTAGGTGAGAAAAAATACAGTTCTACCCTGTTTAAGCCACTGTTCCTTGGTTTTGTTAGTGGCAGAAAAACCTAATTCTAGCATTTACAAGTAGTGTCAAAAAAATAAACCTACTCTCCATAAACAAAGATTTCTTACGCAGAGGATACTCCAAAAATGTGCCATTAAAAAAAAGAAGAAGAAGAAGGTGCTGTGAACTGGGGTGGGGTGGGGGGTCGCTTTCAAAAGCAGGCGTCGCAAAGGCTCTGTTTAAACAAGCATAGCACCTCCCCAGCACTTGGATGATTAAGTTTAGGGTGTTTCTCACTCTGTCTCATTACTTGATTGTCAAGTCAACATGGAAGGCCAACTTCTCCATGAGCGAAGGTTCACACAAGGCTGTGTTGTTTCATGCCACACACAGCAATATCCGCATGCCTCTAAGGAAAATTCAAACACACAGGCACAGCAGAAGGCCGCTAGGAATGTGTGCTGATGATAAAACAAGAAAAGAAATGCCCAGAACAAAAGCATGCCTCGGGACTTACGTGGTTATCTTTATAGTAGTAAGAGAGGGCAGGAAACCGCCGTCTGCTCCGGAATTTGGAACTCCCCACTATGATGTGTGCCGTGGCCGATCTGGGAACGTACAGTTCAGTTGGGTAAGAATCACAAACCTGCCGCAGAAAATACAAGGGGAGTTTTAGGCAATCTAGTATGGCTTTGTGAACAGTGACGAGAAGTTTTGTTCACCAGACTTATAGGTTGCGTGTTTACATTTTCTGAACCAAGTTACAAGGAGGCTGTCCTGAGGAAACCCACAGCCACTTCAAAGGAACGAAGGGCCGCTGATTCTATGAAATCAGAGTGAAGGAAGCAAGAAACGCTTTAGCATCCTGCCTTCTGCACTGAACCTTCCAAGGGCTCTTCGTGTGAGGCAAGACAGTGACAAATGAAAAGTTCTTTCATCAAAAGGGGACAAATGTGCGATTCTGCATCTTAGCAGCTGAGAAAGCTTCAACTGCCTATTTTTGAATGACTCTGGGAGGCAGCTTCCTAAAATGCAAGCACCAGCAGTGAAGTCCCCAGGTCACCTTTCTGTCCCCTGCACACACGCCGTGCAGTCCTGCCTCTGAGCCCTCCCCCCCCGATTCTCCTTCCCTCAGGCTCCCCAAATGGCGTCCATTTGCAAGGTCCAACCCCATTGCCCTTCCTTCAGAAAGCCTCCCCTCTGAGCTCCTGGCTCTTGTGAGATTCTGGCTCTGACTTCCTACTGCACAATACAGCAGCTTTATTTTTGTTTCTTATGTGTCGATTTTATAAGTGGTAAGAAATGATTTGCTTTCTCTGGGCAGCTCTGACAGCAGTTCCCACAGTGGCAACTGGCACCTTCAAATGATCTTACAATTTAGTTGGAAATCAGCCCTTTAGACTCTGGCTTTGATGTGCCAACTTCATGACCTTCGGGAGGTCAAGCTGCACGGAGCGTTCTGGTTTTCTGATCTCTAAAACTGACAGCGGACAGAAACATTATCCCACAGAGTTGGTGGAAGGATCAAATCAGGTAACACCCATGACCAAGGACTTCATAAGCCATTAGGTCTGATAGAAGTGTTTCTGGTGGCAGCAGTAACAGCAGCTGATTTGCTGCTGGGCACACATTTTGCTCTGATGTCAGCCAATCAACCTGTTTGCAATGTGAAGATGGTTTAGGTGGCTGGTCCCTGGGCTTCACCAAAGCAACTGGTTATTTCCTTGAAGCCAATAGTCTTCTTGGGTGTTTATGAGGAGGAGTCCTTGAGCAAGGACAGCAAAAGGGGGAAATGCTTTATCCACATGTCCTCGGTCCCTCCTCACCTGCCCTGCCCTCACCTTCCACTCTGAAAAGATGGGGCTGAAGGGAATAAGCCATGGCCCCCAGGGGAGATCCCTGCTGAGCTCACACATCGGGCTGTGGCGTTGCTCTCCCTTGCCAGCCAGCACTGTCTTTGTCACCAGATTGGCAAACAACATCAAGCGGGACAAAATAAAAGAGTCCAAAGTACAATTTAAGCATTTTGTCAAAGACATTTTAGGGAAGATTACCACACTTTAACAGGGGATCTGGCACTGATGCTGTGGAGGAAAATCCCATTCCAAGAACAAATGGCCCAACCCACTTGGATCCAAAGAGAAGAGCTTTTACTGGAATCTCAGCCACAAGACACCAGACTTCCTTCCCCACGCAACTCTTGTCTCCCTTAGTCAGTCAGCAGGAACCATACTACACAGACCACACCTGCTTGTCTGGGGTTTGAGAGACATGTAGTCATTGCATCAGACTAATATTTTCTTAAAATAACAGTTTTAAAAAGAAAATTGGTAGGTTTTCAGTAAGTTGGGGATTACCCACTTTCTTCCTTGTAACAACGCTAAAAAATCGCTAAGTTATTTACGATTAAATGAAATAAAAATAAGGAAGTAATGGGAGAGATGTCCCAACCTGCTTATTACGTAAAAGCCTTTCTGAGTAGCAAGAGGTGAGCGAGGGACACTGGAGCTTCTGCCAGGTCCTCTGATGGCTCCCAAGGCCAGAGAATGCTTAGCCTGGCCCAGATCATGGCCCTTACATGTGCCATATCTGGGATGGCACCAAGAGAGAAGGTAGACACCCAAAGGCCACTGTCCTCGATACTCTCAGCCCCGCCCTACTCAGAGACCTGACTGTTATCTAGCCACTCAGAGGCCCCTGAGTGAAGGAAGACTCTCCTGCCCTCTAATAATTCCAGGGCTCCCTCTCCCCACAGAGTAGGAAAAGGCAGACCTTTGTGGTTGGCAGGCGCAAGGACCAAGAGCGCAACAGCCCGAGGCCAGGCCCCTCCAGGAACACAACGATGCCGATGCCCGTTCCAGGGACTGCTGCTTCCCCAGAGCGCTGACTGGGTCTTGGGGAGAAAACACCAGGGCTCAGAGCCTGAATTTGCGGCATTCGGATAAGCATTTGCAAGGGAAGCGCTCGCTGAAGCTGAAACACCTTTGGGAAAAGTCAGACTCATGGTGCTGGTTAACTAGGGTTTCGAGATACAACTTCTTCACCAAGCTGGAGAAAAGTAAATTCATCCTGCTGCTGTGAAAGCGGGCAGCGCTTTCAAGTGGAAATTTAAATCACCAGCCTGGATAGCAGTGACTACTGGCATTTTTGCACTGAGCTCATGCAGTTATAGTCCCAATTCTGACTGTGAAAAATGAACAGCACAGGACAATTTGTGCCACCAAGTTGTGAAATGACAACGCAGCTCCCAAAATTTTGTCTGGTTTGGAAAATCACACACAAAAATAGGAGAGAATATGCGAAGTAGAAGATGCTTTTCTCTGGAATTTTCTTTACACTGACTGCCTTAGCAAGGAAAGTGCATTAAGATAAAATGCTTTCTACATATTTTTTTTATTAGTAAGGAAGCAAGTGTCTTTGTCTTTCACTAAATTATTTAGCCTGCCTGGAATGCCTGCCATGTCTTGGTTGGCCTTGCCAAGATGAATCTTTTTTTGGTAATTCTTTCACTCACTAAACAAGTTTTACTGAATACTTACTATGTGCCAGGCATTATGTTAGGTGCTAGGGCAGTAATAAATACAAAAGAGTTGTTGACCTCAAGTCCTGATCTTTGTTGTCCTGATCTTGCAATGAATATATTTTCCATTGCAAGGTAAGAGCCATCTGCGATATCATCCAAGGCATCTTAATTAGATCTCTGTATTTACTGAGGACCAGTCACTCAACTAAGCACTTTGAGCTAAGTGCTGGTTGTCAGGAACTAAGATATGTCTACATAGATAACTTTCTTCTTCAACATTTAGGGCCTATGATTTATTTCAAGGAAATTGTGATGTAATGGGGAGAAGAAGGAGAGTATGAGCAGTATAAAATAATTTATATATAAATAAAATAATATATAACACATACAACATAGCTGTAGAGAACTAAAATAAACAAGATTTTTTTTTTTAGTTACTGGTTTGGATTATACTTTAAATTTTATTCCAAGAGGAATAGATTAAAATTTTAACCCAGTAATGAATGTCAATTATGTCATTTAAATAAAGATAATTTCAGGAGTTAGGTACAAAGGAAAATGCTACCTTAGAGAGTTAGACTACCATTTACATTGTCTTATAAATAGGGATACTGGTTATGACGATAGAGATGATAATGATGCATAGAAAACGGCAGAAGTGGCTCTGGAACCTGTTTTTGAACTCCCATGTCTGGTGTCTTTTCCACAATGGATGTAGCTTCCTCTCCACCAGAACACACCACCAGCTCCTCTTACCTCAAAGACTTTGTGAGAAGAAATGATTCTTGTAAAAGAAAGAAGACAAAAGTAAACACTTTCTCAACCATGAGGTTTAAAGCCAAAGTAATGCATGAGGTCATAGCCTTCTGAATGGAGAATTAGTCAAAAATTTTTGAAAGAAACAAACTTTTAAAAATATTTCTACATTGGTAATAAATAAAGGCGCATCATCTTTTTCACTATTTCAACGATATTTTTATAATCAGAAAAGTCCCTGGGTTTTCACCTTTCCTGTTTCAACACAACTTGTGTATTGTTGGTTTGGATTTGCTGTGTGTTACTTTTGAAAAGAGATGCTAAGTAGCTCATGTTTTGCAGTCTCTACAGTGTAGAACTTCAGTGACTAAATATGAGTCATGTTTGTGGTCTAATTCTAGAAGAAAATCTCATTTGAAAATAGGAAGAACCTGTGTTCCCAAGGAAATATTATTCCACAAAATTTTCTTCCCTACTCAAGGGTGTGTCACATTAAAAAAAAAATTAGGACACTCAATTCCATTTTCTTTCCTAACCTTGGGCTTTCCTTCCCTTCACTTCAAGGCTAAAAATCCACTGCAGAGGTTGGCTTTAGAGTGAGGACCAACTGTCTGGTTACATTAGCCAGATACTTTATACTGTCTGAGACAAAAAGGTCCCAAATGTCTACTTACAGTGTAAGGTTATGGTTGTTAGGTTTTAGCATAACTATGAAGAAAATTCATTATCATGAAAATATCCACTTTCTTCCAACTAATCTATAAATTCCAGATACTCAGAATAATGTGCAAGGACTTGACCAGTAGGACATCAAAGCTATTTTTATAACCATAACAATAATAACCATAACAATATGGTTATAACACCCATAATTAACAAAAATGTAATTATTGAAGTTTTACATGGTCGAATTGCATTGTTAGCAAAAAGACCAGACATTTTTACAAAACAGTACACTAAAACATGAACCAAATGGAAAAGATAGACAACTCAAAACTCCTGACCATCAGCCCCGACCAGTGTGGCGCAGTGGGTTGGGCATTGCCCTGCAAACCAGAAGGTCGCCATTGATTCCCTGTCAGGGCACAGGCCTGGGGTGGGGTGCGGGTAGGGTCCCTGGCTGGGGGCATGCGAGAGGCAACTGATCGACGTTTCTCTTGCACATTGATGTTTCCCCCCTTATCTTTCTCTCTCCCTAACCCCCTTCTCTAAAAATAAATACATAAAATCTTAAAAACACAACAACAACAACAAAACAACCCAGAAATGTCTGACGAGCAAAAGACATCCTAGGAATAGAACAGAAATATCCTGTCAGAGGAGATACTTGCAACAGCTATACATGATAACAGACTATAATCTACAATTTGTAAGAACTTCTACAGATCAATAAGAAAAAGACAACCTTATAGAAAAAAGGATCAAAAATATGAGGTGGCAGGTCACAGCAGAGTCAATGTGAACCGCCAGTACGCAGAAGCCCAGACTAGCTAGCGATGAAGGGGGTACAAATGAGACCACCCTGAGGGCCAAGGCACAGCAAACAGACGGGCGCTCCTTCCAATGTAACTGCATGATCAGTTCATAAATTCACATGGTTATAAAAAAATGAGTCATCTAAATGTCTAACGATTGGGAATACTTAAGCATATTACGGTACATTCATACAGTATGTATTACGGTAACATTCCTAAAATGTTACATGGCCATTTAACTGACTGAGACGCATGCTGTGTAGCAATGGAGAAAATCCTTATCGTTAGATGAAGAAAATAACCAAGGTTTGAAATACATGACTGGAAATTGTCCATTAACAGAAGATAAGGTATAAATGGTCAATCAGCACATACAAAGCTACAAATAAAAAAATCAAAACATGCATATTAAAATTAAATGAGAAATCACTTGTCTTACTATCAAGTCATCAAGCAGTCTCGTACACAACTGCTGAGAACTTACACAAACTGGTGCAACCTTTCCGCAATTCTTTTGACAATATGTCCAAAAATTTGTTTAAACCTTTTGACCTAGAAATTGTAGCTATAGGAAGCTCTTTTTAAAAAAATTTTTTTTTATTATGGCAAAGGTATAGTTACCAGGATGTATTCACTATGTTATTTAAAATAATAATAATCTAAATGTCTAAACATTGCAAATAGGTAGACTGACTTAGTCATATGAGATAATGTTTTAAACGATATAAAATATATTTATTGGCAGAAAAATACTATCTGTAGTATGACTCCATTTCTGTTATATATATTTAAATGGTTTCTTCTACATTTTCTAATTTTAAACAATGAGATACATTACTTTTATAAAAAAGTTATTAAATTATTCAGATGAGAAAAACATCTGAAAGAACATTTTAAAACTTAATGGAAGAATGTTAGGGCAATGGGGAGGTAGGCGTGTTTTCCTTTTTCTCTTTTTTGTAAATTCCCTGCAGTGTTCTTACATTACTTTTGTCACTTCAAATATTTTTTAAGTGAATAGGGAACCCAACACTGATTTGCAAGCCCATCATTAGAGAGAACGCGGGGTTAACCCTGCCATTCCTTCTTCCCTTCCTCTCCATATTCCTCTCTGCAAGAGTGGACACATTTCTCCACATTTCTCTAGGGAAGCCTCTTGGGGACCTTGTGTACCAATCAAGAGTTCAGGGAGGACAAGCAAAACTGGTGCCAAACTGCCATCAGTGTCTCTGCGACTTCCCCACTAATCACTCGCTGAGCTATAAAAAGACTTGATGGGAGAACAGGGCCTGGCCCGCTCTCCCACCAAAGCACTTGGCCATGAGGTCTGCCCTGGGCCTGTCCGCGTTTCCATTTCCTCATCCCTTACAGGAAGAGTGGGCGGGGGACAGCCTCCCAGGTTCCCTTGTTGAAACTTTCTGAGTCTAGGAGCAGGTAGGAAATACAGCCAGCAATAACCAAGAAGGACCTAGAAATCCACCTATCTGACTCTCTATGGAGCTGCCAAAACTAAAGGGGGTCAAGCGGGAGTCAGGCCAAGCTGTGTGAAATCATCACTGCATTCGGATTAGGGACCCAGCTTTCGCTAGGTGAAATGCCTCTGCTTACTCTGTAGTCTCTATTCACATCACTGAGCTGCCAATAATCATTAGGGAGGCCCATGCGCTTGTACTCTTCACTGAGGTCGATCAGCATCCAGCCTTGCTCCCTTTCTTCTTTATCCAGCTTGGGGTTGAATGAAAAGCAGTATAACTCTTCGTATTTAACTGCAAGAAAAGGGAGAATAAAGCCTAATCAAGCTCAGCCAAAGCCAGAGTCAAATATCTTCAAAGCACCTTTGTCCAGGCTCACTACATGGAGAGGCAAGCCCAGCTCCTCATCCCTGGGAACCCCGGAGCACCCCGTCTCTGTGGGAAGGATGGCCCACTTCCTCCCAACCACGAATTCCCAGTATGAATTAAAAAGGCTTGCATCCATTAGACATCAAGTTTATGACTATCGAGCTTGGATCTGGAGGTGGACAGGTGCCCAGGGCCTCTGCCCCATTTTGATGCTCACAGTATTAACAAAAATTGAAAAAAAAACCATAGAATATATTTATATGTTTGCATTGAAAACATTTTAACTTTTTACGACCACATAAATGTCATGATTGTGCTGCTCATACAATATTTATAGGAGTCATAAAAAGTATCAACTCAGTGCATGGCACCCTGGTCAAGAGGGACAAGTTGAAGGGTACAGAGTGAAGTTCTTTCATTTCTGCCAGGATCTCTTTGCCTTTTATGCCTGTGAGGCCAGATGCATAACACCCCCCACCCCCTCCACCACCAATAAGATCTGGGATTTGGTTTTCTTGCTCTGGTTTTCTTTGTTGCGGGAAGCACCCAGCATGGTGCCGTCTGTCCAACAGAAATATAAGCAAGCCACGCCTGTCATTTACAACGTCCCTGTAGCCACATTAAAAAACTAAAAAGAAACAATGAAATGCATTTTACTAATATAATTTATTTAACCTAATATAGCCAAAATGTTATTCCAACATGTACATAATCTCAAACTTATTGATACTTCGTGTATTTTGTTTTGTACTGTCTTTGAAATCCAATGTGTCTTTCACACTTACCAGCCCATCTTAGTTCATTCAGGCCACACTTCACTCTCCAACAGCTGCATACAGCCAGTGGATGCTCTCCTGGGCAGGGCATCTCTAGGCCTTTCTGGCGATTATAAATCGTGGCCGATAAGTCACTAAACCCTTGTCTCATCCTAGATCTGTAATAATTAAATGTATTAACTCATCTAGCAGGCACCATGATGGGCCTCATTTGATAGGGAGAAATCTGAGGCACTGGGTGGTTGAGGAATGTTCCAGGGCCACCCAGCAAGTCACTGGGGAGTCTGGGTGTAAATTAGGCAATCTAGCTGTTCAGTACATGTTCCTAATCCACCACACACTGCTCTTCCAAGTCAGATCCTTCTCTCTTCTGCCCAGATGGTCCACTTTTGTATCTTTTCTCTCCTCGTTCCATATCCTGACTCATCCTGTTTTTCCCCAAGAGATTTCTCCCTCCTCACAGTTGTCTCAGGCCTCACATTTATCCCTTCATCTGCTGAAGCAGCAGTGTGCACAATTTAATGCTCCTGAAGGCCCTGTAGCTGGAGACCCTGTAAAGAAGCTCCCAGGAGCACACAGGCAGCCTGAGACCAAAGCTCCATTTCAAGTGTAGTATGATTACTCCCGAGATAACTCATCTACAAGGAAGAAGAAAGGATCTCATCTGCCGTACAGGCTCCTTCATCAGACACCCACTTTTTTTGTAGAAACGAAGTTCGAAAACTGAGGTGTATCAGTGAAATAAGCTACGTTCGAATTCAGCTTCTCTTGATGCCATATTTCTGAACTTCAAAATGGGGAACACCAGTGATTCCAGCAAACAAGAACACACACACATACAGGCACACGTACACGCAAACACAGAGCAGAACCTTCAGTAAAAAGCGTTCCTTGGAATCTCAGCTAAGTGAGCAGACGACATGTGAAACTGAGATGCTGTTCTGGGAACAGCTGTCTTGACATTGACACATCTTTTCCAGTCTAAGGACCATTTTCATGAGTCAGGCTCCTGATATCATCATGTTAACCGCAAATGCAATTTGTCCAAGATGCCAAAAGAATCTCTTGAGAAAGCCTCAGTTCCCTGAGTGAAAGCAGAGCTAATGAATACAGAGTAATAACGGAAGTTAAGCTCCCTTGGTTAAATATTTACCAATAGGCTTAAGAGTAGAAGAAGAAATACAGTGTGACTACTGACAGTTTTCCAGGCATGGGCTCATGCTTGTAGTCATTGGGAAGGGGCAAGGAAACTATTCACTAATTAAAGCACGGATAATTTGTAACAGGCATCAGGAAGATCACTCTTGAATTGGGAGACATGAGAATGGACTTCCACTGGAATTATGAAGTATTTGCTCTCAGTTATTTTTAAGGAAAGGGGTGATCAGCCATACTTCCAGCCCACTTGAAGTAAAATTCTACTCGAGGGCGGAGAAAACTGTATTTTTGTCAATGAAAGCAAGGTCTTGCTACTGTGGGCAAGCTTCCTGCCCAGGAGCCAGCGCAGCAGAAGGCCTCAGCTGAGGAATGTCCACTCAGAGCAATTAAAAAGTACCGTTAACACAGCCATAAATTTTACTGTATATTTTTCCTTTCACAATATTCTGTTCCCCTCCCCTCATCCTCCTGCAAAATACCTAGCAGAATGTTCAGTAAGTGGTAGGGAGGTAAGTTAAAAACAAGAGTATGGCTAGACACATCTCTAGTCTTTACAGAAACCGAACTTTGAAAAAATATCTACTTGAGGAAGGTCAAGCCCTGATCTGTCACCTACTCTTAAAACAGATGTGTTCCTGGCTTTTCGCATCCCCAAGTCTGGGCCATCTCAGCCAACATCAATTGTGTTAGCTGTCAGTGACCACAGGTCTCAACAGGAGGTGCCCTGAGAGCCACACCCCCAGGTCCGGCCACACCCCCAGGGTCTGATTACTAGGACATCTGAGCTCCTCCCACAAGAAAACAAATGCTCAATGTGCCTTAGACTGAGGAAGTAAATTGACTGTGTACCTCTAATGAAAAAAAATTTTTTCAGAAAAAGTGAAGTGTAAATTATTCTAATTTTTACTTTATTGACCTACTTAAATCCTATAACTGTTAAGCAAAGACAGATGGGAAGGGTTTGCTATTCAGGGGGGAAAAAAAAAGACAGTTTCTGAAATACCACATTCAATTCAGAATGAATAGCACCTTGGCTATGTTTCTAGAAAAGCCAAATCAGTGTCTCAGGACTAAGTAGAGGCAGCAGGAGCTGAATTCAAGCCTCAAGGGTTGACTGGTGTTCTATCAATATTTTAGCACAGTTGTTCCTCATTAATGCAGGGAAGTCCCTACGATCCCTTCGATCCCTTCGGTAGCTAGAGCTCTCGTCAACTGCTTCACTCTCAGGGAGCCCTGCCTCCTACTTCCTGGAGAAGATGTAGCCTTCAAGGGGAAACTCTTTCAACATTTACTCCATCAAGAGGAAACTTTCACCTTGGCCCTGTCCGAGCACCCAGCCTCTGCTTCTTCCTTCCCGGTAGACAGGAAAGGGCATTCATTCCAGCAAGAGGAGAGCTGGGGGTAATACAACGCACTCAGGGAGGAGAGAAAAACAACCTTGTTGACTTCCCGGGTATCCGGCTGAAGGTTATGACAACAATATTCAGGGGGCCATTTCCTCTTATGATAGACTACTTGGGTGGGAAAAAGTAATTTGATATTAAAATCAAAAGTACTTTAAAAATAATTTTAAAAAACCTTGTAACAACCACTGTAAAAATTGAATAATACAATTATAGTATTGATTGTTCCCCTTACACAATTAAAAAAAAAAAAACTGAAAGGAAAAACAAACAGGAGTGACCATCAGTGGAATGGGAAGGGTGGGTGAGGGCAGGGAAAAATCATGAGGAAGACACAGAAATGTGGGTGTTTCAGAGCCAAAAGTAGCAATTGAAAGTTAATTTGCTCCAAATGGCCGGCATAATTCGGGCAACTTAAAATAGATGAACTTGAAAACCATTTTAAAAGGGGTGAGAAGATAACACAGCTATTATTGGATTCCACCTACTTAAAATAAAGACAGTGAGACGCTTCCTGCTTATTTTCAACAAGCAAGTGTTCGAATGAAACTTTAGGATCGTGGAAGCTCACACTTAGGAGAAAAGAGCTAGTGGACTCCGTGTCATCAGTAAAGACTGCCTCAGCCGCGACGACTTAAAGGCAGTAAAAAATTATTCTAAGCAAATGACATATCAATTATGAGATGTTAAAAATCATAGTGAATAGCAGAAGGATTGGGGACCAAGATAAACTGAAAATAGTTCCATGAAAATGGGGAAATAGATAGTTTAAATGTTAAAAGATCCACAGACACTGCAGAAGGCAAGATAATTGATAGAAAAATAAACTGCAGGAGGCAAATTGGAGGAGAAAAGGAAGAACATGGGAAAAACGGAAGCCCTCTGAGAAACAAGGGTCTTTTAATCTGAAAAATGTATATCCTAATTAGTACTTTGAGTCTATGGGGTTAACTTATTTTCTTATTTGGGTACGCCGTTATTTTACCTTAAGTTACTTTACTGAGAATTAAGGAACTTACTGAATTTGGCTACATTATTTTCTTTTTTTTACTGGGATCCTTATAGTCCATGACCAAATTCTTACCAATCTTAATTCATACAAAAGGCAAACCAACAAAATCTTGCCGAATTTTTTAGTCATTTGATTTACGCTTATCCCAGAAATCCTAATTCAGGGGAGAGAAAATCACAAGAGCTTTGGAAATACCTCCTTCGTAAGCCTTGACTTAAATGGACTCTCAAACGTTTTTTTTCTTTTGTTATTTTTTTTTTAAAGGTGTCCTCTACAAGACCTTGTGGTTAGGTATGTCGTAAGGGAAACAGAAAATATGCGATTTGTGTTGGTGATGAAGCACACAGCTATGTTGTACCACTAGAATTTAAAGTATACCATACACACACACACACACACACACACACACACACACACACACACCTTTTCTGATATTCCTAGAGGAGGGTAAACGTGTATTTTGTGAAAGATCCTTGGATGGTTCTGATGAGCCACTCTACCCCCGCTGAAGAGGGCTTCCACCTTCCCTCTCCTCCGCCCAGACGCAAAACCCTGCTTCCAAGCCTACAGGTGATCATCTGCCCTATTTTAGCATCGCCTTTGACATTAAACTGTGAAATTGCTTGGGTTCCACTTCATCTTCCTACACTTACTAAAGTTGTTTTATGTCAACTGCCCTTTCTAATTCCAATGTTTCAGAATGTTGGTGGCTTTTAAACACTGTCTAAAATAACGGCTTGAATTCAGTTCCTCACTCTGGCTTCCTCTTTGACCTCTGGCTATGTCAATTACCTTCCTCTCAGAACTTCATCTTTAAGAAAAAGTGCGCATTTTCAAAATCAGGGGAAGACTGATCTTCCTCCCTGGGGACCCTCACAGCAGGAGCCCTGGTGCTCGTTGTCAGCAGGGACCGGAGCCCTCCCTGCCCTGTGATCTTCCAGCCACACAGCCCTTTCCCAGGTCCCCAGGCTATTCCTAAATCCCATTAATCTGGTCGGAGCACGTGTACCATCCTGCGCATCCATTAATCAGGGACAGAGAAACTGCCGACCCACAACTGTCCTCGCATTCTCGGCTGCACGCAGCCTAACGTGCAGCTTCCCAGGCTTCTGTTCCAATTATAGTGCTGCTCCCAAAAAGTTCAACTGCTTTCCTGGCTGACTCTGCAGTTCTCTTCAACCCACGATGAAAAAGCTTCGACCAGCTGCCTTCAAAGGGGAGCAAGGAAAGTCGGCATCACCAGCCTCTGACAGCTCGCTGACACATTTTCGTTCCCTAACTTTAGCCCTTAGCTGTCTACAGACGACGTGGTCAGAGCATGAGAACCCGAGGGCCTGACCCAATGCCTTGAAGAGTTTATAATCAAACTTTTTGTCCCGAATCACAAAGCATTTAGCAAAGTTATTACACACTCATTCATATCCTATTTCCTTACTAATGACTTCTGGGTAACACTACTATGGATGTAGCTTTTATATAATTGACCTCTTTTCTATGTATTCTCCCAAGAAACTTAGACGTGCATTTCTTTTAAGCAGAAGAAGCCCACAGCTCACACAAGCGACATGAGGAGACAAGAAACGCTTCTGTAGGAGGGCATAACGGGCTAGAAATCTGAGGACATAGGAGAGTTATTGAGAGCACGTATTCCTCAAATCCACTAAACCTTCTTCCCAGGACACCCCAGGAGGTTCTTTTTAGGAGATCCAACAGCTCCATACTTTAAATATTCAGTTATGCTAACGAAGGTCTCATTATTCCAACCTTGAGAAACCTCTATTACTATCCAAAAGCAATAGAAACCAAATCTTGAAAGCCCAAGATGGGGAAAATGGCATTAGAATCACTTGACATCAATGATTTCCATACAGAACAATTGATCAGTTTAGTCTTAGTCCTCCGTTAAGGTCACTTGACGATCACAGGATCAGAAAGGCATAATTTTAAAATGATTTCACCCTGAAAGGAAAACAAACACACTTCTCACCCCCAGAGATAAAGTAAATACTAAAAATAATGAAAGAGGTCCATATGGGAGACAGCTCAGGGAGAGGAAAGCTGTTACTCAGGTTTCTTGGCCTCATGTGGGATAGCATATGATTCCTGAAACACTGTAAGGATCTCAAGTACAACATAGAAACTTCTTGACTGTGACCTGTGAACTGCTGAAGAGTGGGCCCTTACGAAATGCCGAACTCCTCTGCCCTACCTGGCCTTGCAAGGCGTATCAGAGAGACGTACACATCGTGGCAGTCTCTCTCCTGTGGTATGATGAGTTGTAAGAGCTGAAAGTTCTTGCAACGAATGAGCAGATGGCATCCAGTAGCTGTTGTTGCCTGTTTTTCAATGGTGGAAATCTGACTGTGAAGAATCTACAACCAAAAGTTAAGGTGGATGAGCTCAGCACAATGAACTGATGGCTATGACAGGCCAGATCTCTAAGCCACACAGATTGACAGGCAACACTGCCTGCCCTTCAGCTTGCTCAACACATGCACTCAGTTAACAAGAACGGAGATGTTTTGGGAAAGAACCAACTGTCTAATTTTATCATTTTACTTTTCAATGCCAAGCTTTCTGATATCTAGGCTCATTAACTGAAGCCAGCTATTCAGCATACCATTTTGTACAAGTCCAGGTAAGGGAACATTTTGGTAGTCAAATGTTGATTGCGGTTAATAGCTAAAATTGAGTAAGGTCATGAGAAGTTAGTAAAATAAACCTTGCAATCAACAAAAGCTAGAGATGACTCTGCTGGGAGAGGCCGTCATGCTCCTGAATTCCACATGGAATGCTCAAGTTCAATGGCAGCTTGCACTTGTTTTCTAAGCTCTTGGGGGTCAGGCAGGCTGCAGAGGAGATTTATTCTGAAGGCAGTCATGCTGAAGGGCATTTTTGCTGTTTCAGGAGGGTCTCTGCTTAGTCCTCAATGGCAGCATTTCATTCTTTAAATTCCTCTCCAGTGAATAGGACCTGCCACCATCTGCTGAAAATGTAACAATGTCTATGGAATATAGACAAGGCCAAATCTACATTTCAGGCATTCTGGCTCTGGTCATTAGGTCATGGTGAGTTGGCTCTATAAAATAAGAAATATCCAGTGGTCTCATTATTAAGCAGCAGAAATGCCTGGTGCTAGGCATTTCTTATGCCCAGCTTTCCCTAACTTTCCTTTACTTTTCTTGTTTTTTTAATTATCAGAAAAGTGGAGATAACACAATAAAATGACTGTATCTGGCATACTAACACTACTGAATCTCTACTTGAAAGTTGTGACATGAACCACTTGGATATGGCTATTTCTAGGTCTTTCTTTGATGATGTAAATGATTAGTGTTTAAAATGAATAAGGAGATATAGATTTGACTGTGTACAGAAAAGGGCAAAGGTCACATTCCCAAAACATTTCTCTGAATATCCAAACACTAAAGGCCCACCCACCTCACCGTGGGGACAAACAAAACAGTGGAGAATCCAACTTTTTACTTCAAACAATGTAAAGTCCAAAATAAGGAATGCATACCCATGTTTCTTTTCTTGTGTCAGGTGCATTTTCCACAAATATGACATGAGTTGCCGTCAAATACAAAGTACCTAGGGTTGCTTTCTTAGAAGATATTCGATCTACCAAGCGGACATTTTCGACCTAGGAGAATGAGTTTGACAGAGTTAGAGTTAAAGCACCAGAGGTAGTCACGAAAATAAATAACAGGGAAGTAATCTTGCACTTAATCCAAAATACAATTTGGGAAATTCTCCTAATAAGAAAAGCCAGAATTTACCCCTTACTTAGTTCACAGAATATGAATCTGCATATCGAAAGATAAAAATTCACCAATTACTTAAATATATTCTTAAATATATTGCAAAAGATTGACAGACCCCATTCTTTAAGGTTACCCTTTCTGTGTTTTAAATAAGTCAGCATTTTCATTTCACTGTGATTATATACTTCTAATTTAAGGCAGGAAATGTGTGCATCAACATTCTGAGTTTACACAATAACTGTATAAATTACTTTCTATTAAAAAGGAAATAATGTACTTCCCTAGGTATTTCTCAGTTGTAGAAATTGTTTGAAGACAGGAAATATAAATATACTTCTGGGAGCAAAAAGTATCAAAGAACTGTTCTGCGTGTTTATGAAGAAAACTTCCCAAATAAAGATGCTCACATTTATTTATAATAAAATCTGTCTAACACATGGAATCCTCACCACTGAGCTAATTTGAACCATTAGGAGTGATTTCTGGGAAACCATTTTTATCAAGCATATGTTTCTTACCTGTAGAGCAATTTCAAGGATGTGTGCATTAGGATCATTCCCCTATGAAATGTAATGTAATGGGAGCGACAAGACAAGCTCCTCAGGACAAGTGAAAAGTGAAGACAGACACTGGCTCAACCCCGCATCATCCAAGTCAGGATGGTTCTTTGCTTCCCTGAGGCAGCTCAGGGGGAATGAATCCTATTTGCTCCATTCTTTAGCCCAGCGGAGAAGCTGTGGTCCTGATAGAATTGGAGGGCCTGAGGCTTCTCAGCTGCTCCAGGGGAGACCCAGAGGCGGATCCACCCTTCTGAGCACTGCTCAGGCCAATGCCAAGGGCAGACTCGAGCACTCGAGATGCCCATCGCCTCGTCTCCGCTGAGTCCTTAGAACCACATCCACCTTCTGGGTCCCATCCAGCTTCTGCTCACCTTCCAGTGATCTAATGGAGTGAATGACGAGTTAGGTAGTGAAGACCTTGTCTTTGCTCCAGGTGGTGCAGAGTTCCTGAGGCCTCGTGAAGGGCTATGCTTCGTGAAGATGTTCATTGAAGAACCTATCAGCTTACCATTTTAAAAAGTCTTTCTTTTGTTACTGATATATTCCACTTTCTTGTATATGGGTGCTGACCCTTGTGTCTCTTTTGTAAATGGTCTTCACGTCATCGGTTGACTTTCCTACTAGGGGGTCATCATTTCTTACACATTTTATCAGAACAATTTATATAGTAAGGATTGCAGTCTATGGCTTACTTTTTATGTATTTTTTACGTCTTTTACAAGCTTTTTTATTTGTTCCAATGCTTTTTTCAGTAAAGTTACTTGGATCATCTGAGTAGAGAGGAGTATTTTCTATAATGATGTGTCTCTCTTTCCCGTATGTAAACCTCTTTTCCCCGCCTTTAATCATGTGAACTAGAACCTTCAAAATGACAATGATGGCGGTGACAGCAGTCACGCTTGTGTCGCTTTTTGTTTTTTCAGCAACAGCTTTATTGCGATACATTTCACATTCCGCACAATTCACTCCCTTAACATGCACGATTCAATGTTTTCAGGGTACTCCCAGCACTGCGCACACCGTCCCCGTGCAGCTGTCGTCTCGATCCGTTTTGAAGCATGTACGTCATCCCGCACAATAAAAGATCTGCACCAACTCACAGTCTCCCCCAACGCCCTCAGCACGAGGCGACCATCAGTTTAGTTCCCGTCTCTGCAGAGTTGCCTGTTCTGGACATTTCATGTAAATGGAGCATGTCATACTTTGTGCCTGGTTTCTCTAACTTAGCATCATGTTCTCAATCTATGTTTTAATTCAAAGTCATCCATTTGTAAAATGTATTGGTGCTTCATTTCTTTTTATTACCAAGTAATATTCCATTATATGGCTATACCAATTTTATTTATCTATTTGTCAGTTGATAGACATTTGGGTTCTTTCCACTTTTCAGCTATTGTGAATATTGCTGCTATGCACATTCTTGTACAAGTATTTGTGAGGACATATGCTTTTATTTCTCTTAGATATCTCTAGATAGATAGATAGATAGATAGATAGATAGATAGATAGACCTGTCCAGAAAAATCTAGCCATTGTTAATATCACAAGAACAGTTTGCGTGACATCAATGTACCCTGGCAGCCAAGGAGAGTGGACTGGAATGTGCATGCATGAACAATGACGACTTCACTGTACTAGTGGGGCCAGTAGATGCCATTGAGTGAGCATGTTGCATTAAGCTTGAACACTCCTCCATGGAAACTATTTAGATAATTCAGAAGGCTGCAGCTGTGGGTAAATGGTGACTGGCAGCTTTATCACAACAATGAACCTGTTCATGCATCACGTCTCACATAGTGTTTTTTTGTAAACATCATATGACCCAGGTGACTCAGCCCCCCTACAGCCCAGATTTGGTGCCCTACAACTTCTGGCTTACCCCCAAACTAAAATCACCTTTGAAAGGGTAGATATCTCAGACTACAAGTGAGAGTCAGGAAAATGTGGCAGAGCAGCTGGTAGTGATTTGGAGAATTGTGTGAGGTCCCAAGGTGCCTACTTTGAAGGGGACCAAGACATCATTGTCCTATGCATGATACTTCTTATATCTTGTATCTTCTTCAATAAATGCCTATTTTTCATAGTACATGACTGGATACTTTCTGTACATACTTTCATATGCCTAAGAATGGAATTGTTGGGTGATATAGTAACTCCTTGTTTAACCTTTTCAGGAACTCCCAGACTGCTTCCCAAAGAGGCTGTATCATTTTATATTCCCACCGCCCCATAAGAGGGTTCCAATTTCTCCACATATTTGTCAACACGTGTTATAATCTGTTTGATTACAGCCATCCTATTAGGTATAAGATGATATTTCATTGTGATTTTGATTTGCACGCCCCTGATGATTAATGATGTGGAGCAACTTTTCACGTGCACCCCTGCTGTTGATGGGAACACTCCCCATATTTCACCATTGAGTTTAATGTTATTTTTATCACATTGTAGAAGTGATCTATTCTTTTTTTTATTGTTGTTCAATTACTGTTGTCCCCATTTCCCCCTCCATTCCTCTCCCCAACCTCCACCTCCCACATTCAGTCCTCCATCCTCGCTGTTGTCCTTGTCCATGGGTCCCTCATACATGCCCCTTGACAACCTTTCCCCTTCTTTTCCCCAGTATCCCCCTCCCCCCTCCCCTCTGGTCAGTGTCAGTTTGTTCTTTACGTCCATGTCTCTGGTTCTATTTCGCTCATTTGTTTTGTTGATTAGGTTCCACTTGTAGGTGAGATCATAATGGTATTTGTCTTTCACTGCCTGGCTTATTTCACTTAACATAATGATCTATTCTCGGTTTAGTAAGAGTTTTGATTTTTGAAAATCAGCAATAAACATTATGCCATTTTAATAGTTTTTGGATATTTGCTTTTTACTATAGTACTATGTTATCAATAATAGTAATAGACTTCTTAATCTTTAAAGAAGCCGTAGATTCTTAGTATATTACCAATTTGGGAATAGTGTATTGATGTTTTAATATTGCTTACATTTTATCTGTGATAATTACTTTGTTTTGTTTTCACTCTTGTTTTTTCTTTCATCTTTGCTCTTAAGAGAGACGGGCATGTACTAACCTATTTATGCTACTTTTACTACATGAATTCACCTGGTTATTATTAAATCAATTAATTAGAAAGATTTCAACATACAAAATATTTATTATTTGAAACAAATAGACACCCAAGGACATGCTTATTGATTTTAGAGAGAAGGAAAGGGAGAGAAAGAGAAAGGGAGAAAAACATTGATATGAGAGAGAAACATCAACCAGTTGCCTCTTGTATGTGCCCCAACCAGGGACTGAACCTGCAACCTAGGCATGTGCCCCGATGAAGAATCAAACATGCAACCTTTCAGTTTACGGGACAATGTTCCAACCAACCGAGCCCCTCTGGCCAGGGCTACAGACACTTCCTTATACAAAAATGATTTTTTGATAATTATTTCAATTTCTTGTACGGTTATAAAACCATTCAATATTTAGATTTCTCACTAAATCTCATTTTGGCATCTATTTTATTTACAAATTATCTTCTAATTGCTAATTTTCAAATTCTTATGATGTTTTCATTCTTATCTGCAGGTAAATTTCTCTCTTCATGTCTTCTCTTACTGTTCTTACTTTTTTTGTGGTTAGACAAAGGTTTTTCTTCAAAGTAACAGGTCTTGGATTTATTAATTTAATAATTTTTCTCTTTCCTAATTGTTAATTTCAACTTGTGAATGCATGTTTTACATTTCTTTCCTCGGGGACATCATGTGTTTTTTGTTTCTTTGTTCATTTCCAAACTTTTAGGTTTAATAGTCAGCTCATAAAGTTTTATTCTTTTTGTTTAGTGACAAAAATTTAAGTCCAATCATTTTCCTCCAAGTAAATCTTTGGCTGCATGTTTTATCATTCTTACTTTCTAGATAGACCATAACTGGAGTTTTTATTTCTTCTTTGACCTAGGAGTTTTTAAAGAGAATATTTTTCAGTTCCCACATGATTGGATTATTTTATTTAAACATTTGTCATTAAACATTCTATTTTAAACTAACTACAACAAAGATATGAAAGAGAGTTGTGGGAAGAGAGAAGCAAGGGGATATATTATTTTTGGAACATTTCTATGGGAAAAAACTAATTTGCATGCTAAAATGTGCCTAACTAAATTGAGCGGAGGTCCAGGGGTGATATACCAGTTAACAATACCTAAAATCATTTCCCTGATACTTATGACTAATGAAACAAAGCTTTATTGAGATATTAATATTGAACATAATATTTTGATATTTAGAATGAGTTATTATCTCTACAGAAGTGAAGGAAGAAG